CCTGGGAGGCGTAGGCGGGTGGATCATGTGATCAAGAGATTGAGACCATCCTGGCTAAGGCAGTAAAACTAAAATACAAACTATGTACGTTTGCATAAATACAATGTTTGTATTTATATACGATATACAAATACAATATACAAATTTATATACAACATACAAATACACTACAAATGTTTGTATTTGCATAAATGAAACTAAAAATACAAAATATTAGCCAGGTGTGGTGGTGTGCATCTGTGGTCCCAGCAACTCGGAGTGCTGAGGCAGAAGAACTGCTTGAACCTGGGAGTCCACTCTGCTCCACTACATGGCAGCCTGGGCGACAGAGTGAGACTCTCTCAAAAACAAGACAAAACAAATAAATAATGAATACATGTTTCCTTGCGATCTCTGCCTCCCTGCCAAAACAAACCTTAGAAAAAGAGAGACTTTCCAGGAGTCCCATCCCAGGGCTCTTCCTCTGTCCTTGTCCTGAGAGGAACAAGGCCAGAAGGACAAAGCTGAGAGTGCCTGGGTGGAAGGTTTAGGAGACAGAAAGGGGCAGGGCAGGAAGCAGGTGACAGGGAGAAAGGAGGAAAAGAGGAAGAACAGGTAACAGGAACAGGGTGAGACAAAGGGGCAGAAAAGAGGGTCAGGGAAAGCATCACTTCTGTTCCTGACTGTCCTCCTCTCGTCCCATCTCAGGACAGTAGTGATGGAGGTTTCTGATTGTCCTAGCCCAGCCCTGCCCAGGACCCTTGGGTGTGTGAGCCACAGCGTGGATCAGGATGAATCCCAGTTCTTCCCCGTCCAGCTATTGGGAGCTGCTCTAAGCATCGGGCCCCACCTTCCCGTGAGGAAAGGCCAGTGCCAAGCCTGTTGGAGAGAACTTTCAGCCCCCGATCTCCCTGGTGGTGACCTCTCACCCCTGCACTGAGCCCTCTTACATCTACTTCCGCTGCCCTGATTTCCTCCATTGGGAAGACCCTGGCGGGGTTTCTGCATCCGGGTCAATGCCCAGCTCAGCATCTTCAGCTGAGCTGGCTCCTCCTCTCCAACACTCTGTGGTTCTCTCAGCCCTGCCTCAGCAGGTCTCCAAGATGCCTCACATTTTCCGTTTGTTCCCTGTGCTCTACCTGAAAGTCCTATGAATTTCCTTTTGTGCTTAATTAAATTCAGCCTCTGAACTGAAATGTGTCAGGTACAATTGAGCAAGAGGGCAGATGTATCCCCTCCCCCTCCCCATCTCCTGCCCCAGATATCCTAAATGAGAGAGAAATGACTTAAAAATAAACGATAAAATTGAAACTAAGAAAGGTTGTAATCAGCAGACCAAAAATTGAGGAACATCTATAAATAAAAGAAAAAATCAGATGCATTAATATGACGTGAGCAGGTGACTCAGCAGCCTAACATTCATCCGTAAATGGAACCTGATAATCCAGGGCCGAAATTTTGTTTGCTTAACAAAAGGAGATTCATAGCCTAAAAGAGAAAATCAAGTTGAACTAACAATAATTGACGGTGGGTGAAAGATAAATGTTTTCCGGAACAGAAGAGGAACACACATTTATGAAACAAGAAGAGGCACAGTCATTTTCCAACTAACGTCTAGCGAGGCTGGGATTGACCACTCAGAATGGGGGTCCACCAACGACAACCAATTGGAGGTACCAGTGCATAGCAGCTGCATGCCAGCCTTGAAAAAGACCACCTTAAAGACTGCACCGTTTTCTTTTGCTCTTTTGGGGGTGGGCCCTCAAACAGAAGACTCTTCATGTGTATCTCAGCTCCTGCCTCCTGTGCATCACCTGTGAGAGGCATCACTTTTGCTTTGTTTCTTTATTTTTTTAATCCTCATGTCCTATTTCCACTTCCCTTCCTCTCTGAGGCAACCACTCTAATGCATTTGATATGTAACCTTAAATTTGAATGTATTCTTGTAAAGCATGCAGTATTCTTTTTTCCTGTGACTATGTTTTAACTTACTTAGAAGAAATTGTGATAGACCTTTTCCATATGCTTGTCTTACTCCATGCTGGGAGCATATGCACAGCCCACTTTTTTTCAGTGCTTATTCCATTGTGTACATATCCCACAGTGCCTCATTCCGAACTCAGGGTGCATGTCCTGTTTTGCCTTCACTTCTTCATATCATAAGTAATGCTGTGATGCATACGCTCCATCATGTTCTCTTGTGGAATCATATGAGACTTCCTTTAGGATTTATACCCAGGTGGCATCAGCTGGGTTGTAGGATCTCAGACCTCTAATTAATACTGCCAGCTTGCACTGCCTGTACCAAGAATCTAGACTCTAGCGATTATGTTTTATTTGAGTCTATGTAAGATATACAGCACAACCTGTGGAATGGTGTTGCCAATAAAACAAAAACGAAGGCAAGAATAAACATAGCTGAGTGATGTTACATGGGGGCCAGATGTATGATTAGCTCTACTTTTGTGTATGCTTGGAAATTTTCATAATTAAAATGATACCTAAAAATAAAACACTTGCATGTTGAAGTCACTGCTATATGGTTTCAGTCATATGTGACTGAACCCAATCCTTTATTTATCAAACTTACACTACTGCAGTGGGTCGGGACAAGTTTACTTGTAGTAGGAAATATTGAGCTTCACTTAAAGAACATTGGTAGTGGGACGAAAATGGGCTAAATAAAAATAGATCTTCCATAATCAGATGCTAAGAGCTAGCATTTAGCTATAACTTTTAAATATTTTATCTTAACATCCTTGGCCTCAAAACTGTCATAATTCCCTTAGCCAGAATTTTCAAGCAGATGGTAAATTCTGTGTCATAAGTTAACATCTAAAAATATGTATCTTGCTTTAAAATTTTGAATATTTTTTATTTTTTTACCTTCATAGTGTTGCTATGGAAACAGCTGATAATAATCTGATACTTATTCTTCTTTACTGACCAATTTTATCTCTGGAACATTTTATAATTTCCTCTTTGAAATTTTTATTATAATGTGTTTAATGTGGGGTATTTAGTTATCCATTCTTTCTTTTTCTTTTTCTTCTTCTTCTTCTTTCTCTTCTTCGTTCTTCTCCTTCAAGCAGAAAAGGGTGAGAAGAGTAGGGGAGGGGGTTGGGAAGCCCGGCAACAAAAGGGGGAACAAGAGAGGGAGCGGGAAGCCAAAAGACTACAGTACCTGTTATTCCCAGATGGTATCCCATCCATGTACTAACCAGGCCCGACCCTGCTTAGCTTCTGAGATGAGAGGAAATGGGGCACGTTCAAGGTGGTATGGTATGGCTGTAGACGCCTGCATCTACTCCTGACTGCCACGAGAGCCCACGGGGCTGCAGGGGTGGACAGTCACAAAGAGGTCCCAGGCTGCCACAGGGGCGCAGGTGGGCAGAAAAGGGGGAGAAGAATCGGGGTGGTTGGGAAGCCAGGCAACGAAAGGGTGAAAGAGGGAGGGAGCAGAAAGCCAAAAGCTTAATTATCCATTCTATTTGGAACTCTCTGGACACATTCAATATGATGTCTTCCATATTTGTTCAATTTGGATAATTTTTTCAAGTAGTTATTCTACCCCATTTACTCCTATTGCTCCTTTGGGGACTTCTTTGAAGAGATATTGACATTTCTATTTCTATCCTCTAGCTCTTAACGTTTCTCTTACACTGTCTTTCACTTTATTCCCTCCTAATGCCTTTAGGGAGTGCTCCCTGACTCTTTCCCTTACCTACGCATTCTTCTGCTAGTCATTGCATTCAGAGTTCTTTATTTCAACAATGATCATTTTCTTAATCAATATTTCAAATTTTTTCTTCTTCATTATTGCTTGCTCCTGTTTTATGCTTCTAATGTTGTCCCTTATTGCTCTGAGAATATCTATCATGCTTATTTAAGTCATTGTTCTCCCACTGGTTCTGCTTTCTCTGTAATATTCAATTTATTGCTCTGTAAGAAATTTGTTCAATTTATTCTTTTTATATTATTTGGTAATTTTTCTTGTGTTCTCATTTTTTATCCCCTTCTTACCTCTTTTTTTGAGGATCAGTGAATTACTACAGATTTCACTGCCTAAGGAAGCCCCAGAGGCAAATAGAGTTGATGAGTTTGCCATAAACTGTCCAAATATATAGATACACTTACTCTATCACAAAGATAGCCATTCACATCAGTGAGTGTATTTAACAATGAAAATAGAGTGCATTTAACTATTTGGAAAAAATTAAATGTTACCCTCTTTTCATGCTACAATCTAAAATAAATTTTAAATAGATCAAAGAATTAAGTGTTAAGTGAGAAAATGTTAAAGAACTAAAAGAAATAACTCTATAAGGATTCAGTTCTAGTAAGGACAGGCATAAACAACCAATACAAGAGAGGAAGAAACCACAGAGAGAAAAGGCTGAGAAATTTTCCAGAATTAAAATTTTAAAACTAATCTATATCCAAAATAAGTCATAAAGAAAATGAACAAGAAAATAACAAACTCCAAAGAGTTTTTTGGAATTAAACTAGAAATCAGTAGCAGAATACCAAAAGGATATTTGGGAACTAAAAATTACAACAACCAAAATTAAAAGCTCACTAGATAAACACCATAGAGGAGTAGAGATGACAGCAGATATCATTAGTGAACTAGAAGACAGATCAATAAAGTTCACTCGGTCTGAACAGAGTGAAAACAAATGAAGAAAACCTCAGCTATCTGTAGGACATTACCATGAGAGCTAACTTTTGAATCATCAGAGTCCCAGAAGTGAAGGAGAAAAAGTGTGGGACTAAAAAAATTATTCCAAGAAATGTTTAAGCTTCTCAAATTTGGTCAAAGACCTAAAGTTGCTGATCCCCAAAAGAAAGCTTTTGGGGATGATGGCACTCTTCTCTCTTGATTATGGCATTGGATACAAGTCTCCAGAAGTCTCAGAACCATTCATTAAAAAGGGTGGATAGTATTGTATGTAAACTAGACATTAATTTTTAACGGGAAAAATAAATGTAAAGACAAAATACACTGCTTGTGTGTTAAGTCAAATGAAGAATGTAAAAGTTTAATGTATATACATTTTTAATGATTTTGACAAATGCTTCCAAATTTCTCTCAAGAATGGTTGAATCCAGTGCATACTTCCCCGATCGTTGAATGAGTGATTCCTTCCACCCTCGTCAGCACAGTAATCCCAAGGGTCACACTTTTGATGATCGCTGGCTCAGCGCTGGGCACACTGCAGGGGTTTCATAGAAGCACAGATTCCGGGCACTCGAAGTCCCACAAGAGAAAAATCCCCACTCCTGAAGCAACTTACTGTTCTGATGGGGGAAGTGATGAAGGAACGTACCATGTGTGTTGAGGAGGAAGGTGGCCTCTGAACTCAGGGAACTCAGTAAGTTCTGAGTACTGGATGGGAAACACTGAAAAAAAAAAAAGGGTAAATAAGAAAACAAAACACATCTGTAAGCGGAGATGTCTCAAGTGACAACTGTATCTCATTCGCATGCCCCTAGTGCCTACCTAGTCCCATGCATAGCAATGAGGTTGTGGGAATGAATGAACAAATGAATGAATGAATGAGTTGGGACACTATAAAAGTTTAGGGTCAGCCAAGATAAAACTACTTTGCTTAGAGTTTGGGAGTTCAAGGTCAGTTTAAGATTGTGGCCAGGCAAACTTGAGAACTTTTTGCTTTGAGTCCTGTTAAAATTAATGAAAATGGAGACAAGGCCTGAAGAGTCCCAAGCAGACAAAATCAGTCAGGCCTCATAAGTGATCTCAACCTTGCTTGATTTGCAAACATCAGTGAAACCTAAGTTGAGCTATTTCTTGTAAATGTGTGTATTAAGGAAGAACAGAACTTAAGCTCAACCAGTCAGAAGAAGCCAATGAACTTATATAAATAAGTAGTGTCTTTCCAACAGGCTAGGGCAACTAGGGGAACTGTAGAACTGTAACCAATTAAATATTTTCTTCACTTTACTCGTCCTGTGGGAGCCTTCCCCTTGCGTCCCACCAGTGGAGCTCCTCCACCTGTTCTGTTTGGAGCTGCCTGATTCATGCATTGTTGTTTGCTCAAATAATCCATTTAAATTTGTATTGTGCCTCAGTTTACTTTTTGACAGTCCCATCTAAGGAGTAGAAACGTAGCATTGGTGAGTAGGGGGAGCATACATAACCATGGGGGTCCAACTGGACTCCCACACACTGAAGGAGCAGATGACACAGCTACTGGTCTGGGCTTTGGAGTAAGTGAAGGGTGTGGTCTTGGGCCAAGTGCTGGGTCATTTCCACTGGAGCTGTTGGCTGCACAGGCAAGATAGGGTTGAGCAGGAGGAAGTGGAGGGTGCTTGCCTGTGTGCTGATGGAGGCTGAAGGCACAGGAGGAAAGGGCTCTTGAGGTGAGGTGGATGAGGGGAAGCCCTGCAGTGGCTTTAGGAAGCCTGTGGGAGGGACTAGGAGTCTAGAGGGAGCTGGTGGTGAGTAAAGACAAGAGGAGGAGAGGCAGAGAGAGGGATAGAGACAGGAGATGCAGGGGTAGGGCAGAGGAGGGGCTGCTGGTGTGTGTGTGTGTGTGTGTGTGTGTGTGTGTGTGTGTGAGTGTGAAAGTGAGACTATGTGTGTGAGTGTGAGTGTATGTGCACGCACACCCATGTATGAGAGCACAGGAAACCCTCCCTCAACCCAAACTTTGTGGGAAACCAAAAAGATTTCAAGTAAGCCTGTAAGAGGTTATTTACAAGAGTGAACACAAGTGACTGTTCTGAGCAGACAGAAGCCTGGGAGAGAGAGAGGAAGGAACAGAAAGAATACATCTGCAATGAATGAATGAATGAATTCGAGTTTATAAGAATTTCTGTGTGAATGTGTGTATGTAAGAAACTAGAGTTCATGATTTCCACCTTATTTTGAGAGCCTGCTCTGCTGGGTCTCTGAGCCTGGAGGATTCAAGGAAAGTCTGTACCTGAGGTTCCAGAAGCCTCACCCCAGCCCCCTAGCTGGATCCCAGGGACCAGTCCCTGGGGGAGGTTGCGTAGGGCCAGGAGCCCTCTCTGTTAGCCCTCTTTGGGCTGGGGCCACAGACTGGGTGGAGCAGCCACACTTGCCTGAAGTTTCAAGGAAAAGGGCAGAAACAGCTGCCAGCACCGCCCTCAAGATAGGCTCAATGAACCCCTGCAGTCGGCTGGGGACAGTGGGTCCCACACTGCCTCACTTCCGTAAATGGGCAGCTTCATTTTTAGAACCCCAGGTCCTTCCCTGGCAGGCCCAGGTGGCACATCCTGTGTCAGCTGGGCCCTCACCTTGGATCCCCGGGGTGCCCTGGCCCCTTGCTGGGCCTGTGACTGCCCAGCTGGATGGAGCCATGGTCCCTGCGCTCCTGCTGCTGCTGCTGCCCCGCGGCCACAGGGCTGCCTGTCAGGTGAGGGGAGAAGGGGCTGCCTTGTGGAGGAGGGAGTGGGAACAGAGGCAGGAGCTTTAGATCTTTATCAGAAACTTCACTTCTTGCTTTCCTGGCCCAATTGTCTTGCTTATTTTTTGTGGGTTGGATGAGGAGGAAGTTAGGGCTGACTTAGTGGCTCCTTACCAGAGACCGCTGGGCATGGTGGCAGTTGGCAAAACTCACTCCCTACTGCCTGGAGAAGGGTGGGAGTTGTAGGCACACATGAACACAGTGCCCTGGAGACCCATCCCAAGGTCACCCAACTCTGTACCTCCCAGAGGGTAGAGAGACAGCTTCCCACTGCCAGGGCAGAAAGGGGTCTCTCCTGTGCTCAGAAATTCTGGGCTCATCCACCAAGCAATGGAGTTAGATCATTCTGTTTAGTTTGCAAGGAACAGAGGGATGTTCAGAGAGGGCGCTGCCTCACACAGAGCCTCAGAACTAGTAACTGCTGGGTGGGAAGCGGGACAGATGTCCTGGGTTCTGGGCCCTTGACTTTCATAGCTCTGGGTTCCACTGGGGGAACTGGGAGCCCCCTGCATGTGGGAAAAGGAAGCATGCATTGAGCACCCACAGTGTGCAAAGCACTGACCTGGGGCAGAATTCTCACAGCAACCTGTGAGCGGTGTGGTGCTGTTGTCACTTGACTGACACAGAAATATATCTGTTTCTGTATCAGTCAAGTGACAAGTGTCTGTTTTGATATTTCAGTATCAAACACGTGCCCTGATCACACAGTTAAGTGGTAGAAACAGGGTTTCAGCCCTTGTTTATTTTGACTCTAAAATGTGGGCTCTCTATTCTCTACTCTGCTGTAAAGTTTTTTTTTAATGTGTGTTTATGAAAGGCTCTGGGGTAAAATTATCAGAAGAATCAGTGCCGAGCTTAGGTTGGGCGCAGGGGTGAAGGGACCCTGGCAGCTCTCTCCCTCCATCTGTCCCCTGAGTCACCCCCACACAGCAGTTCTGCTCTCTCTCCACCAGACTGTGGGTTCTGAAGGCTTGGACCACATCTTACACCTCAGCATAGAGAGCAAGACACTGCAGATGGAACATGAACAATTGGTGAATCCTGTGGTTCGCACTCCATTGGGAGTTTGTTTACATGTACATTTGGACAGGCTTCACCTGTGGGTTTTATGTAACTAGAATATTTTAAAAGTAAACACCAGATAGAATGAACTAAGTCAGGTTATTCTTTAAAGAGGACTTCAGTGAGCATATTTATGAAATAAAGAACTATTCATGATTTTTTCAAATACTGGATTTTCTTATGTACCTAATTAGTTGGGCACTGGAATTTCAGAACGTAATGACTTGTGTTTGTGTCTCTGCATCTATCTTACCGAGGGCGTGACCTGAGTCTATCCCACAAGAATTCCCTGGGAATCCCTGAAGGCAGAGCTTGTCCCTCTCCCATCAGACTAGAGAATACCATGAGGAAAGGGGTGTGTCTGATGGAGCTCCGAGTGTCAGGGCTGTGTTTCCTCCATTAGACTGAGACTCCCTGAGGGATAAACCTGCCTCCTCCACCAGACTGAAAGCTTCCTGAGGGAGGGGCCTGTGTCTCCCCCATAATACTGGGTGCCAGCTGTTTTCAGGGCTGGTGTACCACCCTTCAGACTGGGGCAAGCTCCCTGGGGTGGGGCTGTATTTCCCCCTCAATCATGTGGGTTCCATGACAGCAGGACAATATCCAGGTCACCCTTCACCATGATCTTCAGCTTTCACGATGCCTTCTTCCTCTGCTCTTGCCAGACCTTATCCAACGAGCCTTGTCTCCTCCCCAGGTCCCCCTGCCGAGAGCGCATACACAAAAGTGAGGCACTTTGAAGGGGAGACTCTGTCTGTGTTGTGCTCCTACAAGGGCTACAGAAATCGTGTGGATGGGAAGGTTTGGTGCAAAATCAGGAGGAGGAAGTGTGAGCCTGGCTTCACCCGAGTCTGGGTGGAGGGACCCCGCTACTTGCTGCAGGACGATGCCCAGGCCAAGGTGGTCAACATCACCATGGCGGCCCTCACTCTCCAGGACTCGGGCCGATACTGGTGCATGCGCAACAGCTCCGGGACCCTGTACCCCATGTTGGGCATCTGGCTGGACGTGTCTCCAGGTGAGTGGGCTGGAGGGGCACTGGGAAGGGTGGAGGGAGCCCTCCCTGCCCTACACTCCACTAACATCAGAGATGATAAGGATAGTAACCCATCCGTGGTCATGTGGCACTGTAGTGTTTTCAGAGTGCCTTTATGGCACTATTCACGACACTATTGTCACCATTTACAGATGAGGATAATGAGACCTGAAAACCCAATGTGACTCTGAGCTTGTCCAGGGTCCCAGAGCTAGCAGGTGGCTGAGATGAGGTTCAACCTTGGGACTGTCTGTGCTGTGTTTCATTCACTCATTGCTTCACCATAATTCACTCAGCCCCTATTATGTGGCAGGCACTATTCTAGGCTCTAAGGATACAAGAGTGAGCAAATACAGACACAATCTTGCTCTATAACAATTGCAAATAACAAGAAATGTTTGTAAGAAAATAAAACCCTGGCGAACTGGAAAGTAACTCGGTAATGAGGGAGCTGTGGAAGTACTGAGGATCAGAAAACACCTCCCTGAGCAGATGACACCAAGCAGAGCCCTGAATGGTGAGCGTTCTGCAGCCCTGTTGAAATCTGGGTGCTTTGAAGGGCACTTTGTGGTAAGAGCTGCATGTGCAAAGATCCTGAGGTCAGAAAGAGCTTGGCTTGTATAAGAAAGGCTTATCTGGCCAGGCGTAGTGGCTCACACTTGTAATCGGCACTGTGGGAGGCCAAGGCAGGCAGATCACTTGAGGTCAGGAGTTCGCGACAAGCCTGGCCAACATGGTTGAAACCCCATCTCTACTAAAAATACAAAAATTAGCCAGGTGTGGTGGCATGTGCCTGTAATCCCAGCTACTCAGGAGGCTGAGGCAGTAGAATCACTTGAACCCAGGAGGCAGTGGTTACAGTGAGCTGAGATTGTGCTATTGCACTCCAGCCTGGGCAAGAGTGAGACCCTATCTCAAAAAAAAAAAAAAATGCTTTTTTAGTGGCTCCATATTGAGTATGGGACAGTGATTGACTAGGTTGGGGAGTCCAGCATCCCTGAAGCCTGTGAGATGGAGTTTGGGTGATTCTAAGTACAAGAGGAAGCTATCAGAGAGCTGAGAGAGGTGTGTCATAGCTTGTTTTTAAGTATGTAGTAGCCACTTGACAAGGACAGACTGTGGAAGGTATGAGCATGGGCAGAGCGACCATTGTGAACACAGTGCATGCTTCCAGCCTGAAGGGCGAGACAACCTCTTTAAAACGCCAGTACCAGCCCTCCCAACATTTACAGGTGGAAAGTTGGTGCAGGAAAATAACAGCCAATACATGTGCCATAGTAGGGGACAGTCCCAGGACAGTGGCATGGGAGCCTCGATACTTCATCCAGGATGATCACTTCTATGGCATCTTCACCGTCACCATCACTGAACTCCCAAGTAGAGGCCTTGGGATTCTATGGGTGTGGAATCTCTCAATCCCATGAGATCTCTATCGTCAGAATCATCTGCCTGGTGTTTTCTGAAGGTGAGTTCTGTTCCTTCTTATTGGTGGGTCTCAGACCTCCTGAATCACAAGGTATTAGAGCTGGAGTGGATCCTAGAAATCTTCTCCTCCCACCCTCTCTTCGCTGAAAACTGGGGGCATGGAGAAGAAATCCCTTGGCCCGAGGCCACTGCTGCTGAAGGGCAGAGCCAGTCCCAGAATGCAGACCTGCTGGCTTTTGGCTCTTCCTTCCGCATCACACATATTTCCCTTAACATTTTTTGCTGCTATTAACAGGACTCCTCTATTTGGAATGAGATTAAAGCTTCCCCATGCTTGAGCACAAAAGGCTTAATGGTCCATTCCGGACATTCCTACCCCTGACCCTAACTCCCAGCTGTAGTCAAGAAATTCCACTGAGTAATGGGGTAGGGTGTAAAAATATGACACAGGAGACAGCTAGACAATGAGGCTGACATGAGACTTAGGGGATAAGGCTGGGAGGTGTAGCAACCTGGGGCTCAGAGGTCCTGAGTCCTCCCCGCAGACCTGCCCCTATCAATTGAATGTCATTAACTTTCAAAATGAGAAGTTAGGGGTCACCACTACTCCTGAGGCCCCTGGGCACTCCTCCTGAAATTAGAGTTGCCAAGCTTTCCTGCCTTTTTCTCTGATGGTCAGGACCCCTCCCTGCTGCTGAGTGTGCCCAGCCACTTGGTCAAATGGGCACCTAGAGGACCCCAATAAGCTTCTCTTTCTTCAGTGCTCAAGCTTTGGCTCACTGCCCATTCCTTGTAGGGCAAAGGGCTAGGCTAGGCCCTGGCTAGGGACTCAAAAGCCTTGAGGTCCCATCCTGAGCTGGAGGAGCCCACAGCTGAGCCAGAGAAACAGCATATGATGAAGGATTATGATGCAAGGTGGTAGGTGGCATTAGGGAAATATGGTGGATGGAAGAATAATGAAAGCTGGAAAGGAGGGGGAAGGTTTAAATTTCTAGTACCAGGGGAATTTTAAACCTATAAAATAAGGCACATATGGAATACATTAATAAAAGCTAACTTGTAAAGCAGTATGCCACAGGCACAGGTGAATGCAAGGTAGAATGAATGATATGAAGTAGAGTAATCAAGGATTTATTCTTGAAGAAGTTGGGGGCATATGGATTGGTGAAGAATAGCAGGCAAGTGCAGTTCCAATAAAGTGAATAGCCTGAATATGTCTTTCTTCTTCTTTCTGCCTTTCCTCCCTCCCTCTTTTCCTTCTGTCCTTCCTGACTCTAATCGAGGCTCATCATACACTATTCTTAGGTTACAGCAAAAGGAAACCCTGCTTCTTGGCCATGTCTATTTCCTTCCTTAGCTCCATTTACCCTAACACTTACCCATCCACTCACTCATCCATCTTTTCATCCACTTACTCTTCATACATCCTATCCATTCCCCCACTCATCCATCTATTCATCCATCTATTTATCCACCCATGATTCATCTGTCCACCCACTTCCAAATAATTTATCTATTAAATCACCCACTTATCCATCCATCCATTCATCCAATGTGCCTTTTCACAGGTCTCTTAGGTACCCCTGCCTCCAATGTGAATCCTACCCAGAACATGCCTCAGATTCCCACAGTTCTTACTACCCACTAAGGCCCTGAGCCCACTGTATACCAGCCCAAGAACCATGGCCCAACCTCCACCCAAGTCAACTGCTGATGTCTCCACTCCTGGCCCACAGTCAACAATAAAAATGGGACAAATGTCATATGATTTCCCAGCCTTTGGGCCCCAGGTTTGGACACTGAGTCCGTTGTTCCCCAGTCCATGTGCTAAGAGGATGGGGGAGTGTGAGAAAGGGGAGGGTGGGCAGGAGCCGACTTTAGTCACATTAGTCTGGGTAGAAATGTCCAGGGAAGAAGGAGGTGGTGATGGAGAATAGGAGAGGCTCTCTGTCAGCCAGGCTGTCCTCCCCAGTTCACCTTCCTCGCTTTCTTGCAACCTGAGTATTAAGGAGACGGAAATGGCATCTTCCCCAGATTCCAATGGACCCCATCCAACCCCAGGGTCCTGATGGGTAGTGGGAAAGCCCTCTCTGAGTGAGGGACCCTGGATCTAGTGTCAACCTGACTGACTGACTGACTTTATGTGAGTCAAGAGCCCTCTCTGGCTTTAGCTTCCTTGTCAATTCAGCAGGCATGCTAGAAACCCAGAGCTAAAGACATTGTCCACCTAACAGCTCTCAGCAGGAGCCACACCTTAGGGCTAAATGCAGTCCTGGTTTTTGCTTTGTTTGGTTGGTTCTTTAAAAAAGAATACTGATGTGTGTGCCCTCATACACAGACCAATAGATTCAGAATTTCTGGAAATAAAGCCCATCTGAGTACTTTTTAATAAACACCTCAGAAAGAAATTCAGAGAGGAAAGGACAAACAAACTGAGGAATGAGAAAGAATAGAAACTCTTTCTTTTGAAATAAAAAAATTTAATGTGATTTTTTTCCCTTTAAGAAGAAAAATCTGCATTAATTAAATGAAAATTATTATCCAAGCTACTTAAGTATAAAAGCACATTGTGCTATAAAATATTTAAACTGTATTAATAAGAAGCTAAGTTTATAACAAGGAACTGAATGCTTCTCAGTTGACTACTTACATTGAGGCAAAAGTCTATAAAGCAGCATTTCCTATGATGGTGGAATGTTCTCTGTCCCTGTCCAACATGGATTATCACACTGGGCATGTGTGATAATTGAGTACCTGACCTGAGACAAGTGAGTGAAGGACTGTAATTTCTATTTATCATTTAATTTGTGTTAACTTAAATGTAACTAGCCCCCTTGACAAAACTTTGGGAGTGTTTTAACGCAACTTTAGGACTTACTGAGAAGTTTGTTTCAAGGTTGGTCTTTCAAAGCAGGGGCTGGGCTGTGATTAAGTAATGATCACAATCAAACAGTACAGGATTGGTAGAAGCAATAAGATGAGGATCCTTTTTTTTTAACTTTAGGTTCTGGGGTACATGTGCAGGTCATGTAGGGTTGTTGCATGGTGCATACATAACCAGGTGGTTTGCTGCCTCTATTCCCCCTTTGACTATATCCGGCATTTCTCCCCATGTTATCCCTCCCCATCCCCCACTGTCCCTCCCCTACCACCCCCCCACCCCACTAACTGCCCCCAGTGTGTGATGCTCCTCTCCCTGAGTCCATGTGTTCTCATTGTTCAACACCCACCTATGAGTGAGAACATGTGGTGTTTGGTTTTCTGTTCTTGTGTCAGTTTGCTGAGAATGATGGTTTTCAGATTCATCCAAGTCCCTACAAAGGACTTGAACTCATCGATTTTTATGGCTGTGTAGTATTCCATGGTGTGGAAATATGTGCCACATTTTCTTTGTCCAGTCTATCATTGATGGGCATTTGGGTTGATTTCAGGTCTTTGCTGTTGTATACAGGGTTGCAATGAACATACACATGCATGTGTCTTTATAGCAGAACGATTTATAGTTGTTTGGGCATATACCCATAATGGGATTGCTGGGTCAAACGGAATTTCTATTTCTAGGTCCTTGAGGAATCGCCACACTGTCTTCCACAATGGTTGAACTAATTTACACTCCCACCAACTGTGTAAGAGTGTTCCTATTTCTCCATATCCTCTCCAGCATCTGTTGTCTCCAGATTTTTTAATGTTCGCCATTCTAACTGGCGTGAGATGGTATCTCAATGTGGTTTTGATTTGCATTTCTCTAATGACCAGTGATGATGAGCATTTTTTCATATGTTTATTGGCCTCATATTTGTCTTCTTTTGAAAAGTGTCTGTTCATATCCTTCACCCACTTTTGAATGGGTTTTTTTTTTTTTTTTGTATATCTGTTTTAGTTCTTTGTAGATTCTGGATATTAGCCCTTTGTCAGATGGGTAGACTGCAAATATATTTGCCCATGGTTCACTTTAATGATGGTTTCTTTTGCTGTACAGAAGCTTTGAAGTTTAATTAGATCCCATTTGTTTATCTTGACTTTTGTTGTCATTGCTTTTGATGTTTTAGTCATGAAGTCCTTGCCTATACCTATGTCCTGGATGGTTTTGCCTACATTTTCTTCTAGTGTTTTTATGGTGTTAGGTTTTATGTTTAAATCTTTAATCCATCTGGAGTTAATTTTAGTGTAAAGTGACAGGAAGGGGTCCAGTTTCTGCTTTCTGCACATTGCTAGCCAGTTTTCCCAACACCATTTATTTAACATGGAGTCCTTTCCCTATTGCTTGTTTTTGTCAAGTTTGTCAAAGATCAGATGGTTGTAGATGTATGGTGTTGCTTCCGAGGCCTCTGTTCTGTTCCATTGGTCTATGTCTCTGTTTTGGTGCCAGTACCATACTGTTTTGATTACTGTAGCCTTGCAGCATAGTTTGGAGCCCAGCAGTGTGATGCCTCTGGCTTTGTTCTTTTTGCTTAGGATTGGCTTGGCTATGCGGGCTCTTTTTTGGTTCCATGTGAAGTTTGAAGTGGTTTTTTTCCGGTTCTGTGAAGAAGGTCATTGGTAGCTTGATGGGGATAATGTTGAATCTATAAATGACTTTGGGCAGTATGGCCATTTTCACAATATTGATTCTTCCTAACCATGAGCATGGAATGTTTTTCCATCTGTTTGTGTCCTCTCTTATTTCATTGAGCAGTGGTTTGTAGTTCTTCTTGAAGAGGTTCTTTACATCCTTTGTTAGTTGTATTCCTAGTTATTTTATTCTCTTTGTAGCAATTGTGAATGGGAATTTACTCTTGATTTGGCTCTCTGTCTGTTATTGGTATATAGGGAATGCTTGTGATTTCTGCACATTGATTTTGTATCCTGACACTTTGCTGAAGTTGCTTATTAGTTTGAGAAGATTTTGGGCTGAGACAATGGGGTCTTGTAAATATACAATCATGTCGTCTGCAAATAGAGACAGTTTGACTTCCTCCTTTCCTAATTGAATATCCTTTATTTCTTTTTCTTGCCTGATTGCTCTGGCTAGAACTTTCAATACTCTATTGAATAGGAGTGGTGAGCGATGGCATTCTTGTCTAGTGCCTGATTTCAAAGGGAATTCTTGAGCTTTTGCCCGTTCAGTATGATATTGGCTGTAGGTTTGTCCTGAATACAGCACACCGATGGGTCTTGAATTTTTATCCAGTTTGCCAGTCTGTGTCTTTTAATTGGGGCATTTAGGCATTTACATTCAATGTTAATATTGTTATGTGTGAATTTGATCCTGCCATCTTGTTACTGGCTGGTTTTCTTGCCCATTAGTTGGCTCATATTCTTCATCGCATTTTTGGTATTTGCCATTTGGTGTGCTTTTGCAGTGACTGGTACTTGTTCCTTTCCGTGCTTAATGTTTCTTTCAGGAGCTTTTGTAGGGCAGGTCTGGTGGTGACAAAAATCCCTCAGTAATTGCTTGTCTGTAAAGGATTTTATTTCTCCTTCACTTATGAAGCTTAGTTTGGCTGGATATGAGATTCTGGGTTGAAAGTTCTTTTCTTTAAGGATGTTGAATATTGGCCCCCACTCTTCTGGCTTGTAGAGTTTCCCTCTGTGGGTGATCTGACATTCTCTCTGGCTGCCCTTAGCATTTTTTACTTCATTTCAACCCTGGTGAATCTGACAATTATGTGCCTTGGGGTTGCTCTTCTTGAGGAATATCTTTGTGGTGTTCTCTGTATTTCTTGGATTTGAATGTTAGAATGCCTTGCTAGGCATGGGAAGTTCTCCTGGATAATATCCTGAAGAGTGTTTTCCAGCTTGGATTCATTCTCCCCATCATATTCAGGCACACCGATCAAGCATAAATTAGGTCTTTTCACATAATCCCATATTTCTTGAAGGCTTTGTTCATTTATTTTCACACTTTTTTCTCTTGTCTTGCCTTCTCTTTTTATTTCATTGAGTTGATCTTCAATCTCTGGTATCCTTTCTTCTGCTTGATCAATTCGGCTGTTAAAACTTGTGTTTGCTTCACATAGTTCTCTTGCTGTGTTTTTCAGCTCCATCAAGTCGTTTATATTCTTCTCTAAGCTGGTTATTCTAGTTAGCATTTCATCTCACCTATTTTCAAGGTTTTTGGTTTCTTTGCATTGAGTTAGAATGTGTTCTTTAGCTCAGAAAAGTTTGTTATTATCCACCTGTTGAAGCCTGTTTCTGTCAATTTGTCCCACTCTTTCTCAGTCATATTGTGTTCCCATGTTGTTGAGGAGTTGTGATCCCTTGAAGAATAAGAGGTGTTCTGGTCTTTGATGGTTTCATCTTTTTTGGGCTGGTTTTTCCCCATCTTTGTGAATTTACCTGGCTGTGATCTCAGGGAGCTGCTTGATGAGGTCACTTGTCTGCCTGTTGAGGCACTACTGGGTTTCTAGGGACTCCTTCAGGTTACTAGGTAAGCTTCTTGTGTCTTTTTGTTTACACTGGGAGGTTAGGCCCACCTCTTCCATGGACATGGAGGCA